TTCTCCAGCCTCTCTTGCATCTCACAAAACACGGAAGAAGCTGAACTGCTGGTAGAAGTTAATAATGACCTTTCTCTACCTTCTGCATCTACAAAAATTGCTTAAATTATGGAATAGTAAATGGAAAGAGCTTGCATGTTTTGTATCTCGTGACATTTACCTTTAATTGATTTTAGCATGATTATAAACAACTAGAATCATTAAACTATGCTATTCCACTAGTGGAAGGATTTCTTCATCATATGCAAGTATCAAATAATAGGTCCGATGATGAGATCAGAAGAACGAGTCCCACAAAGTACAACACCTCGATTTTACATTTTCCGGTTTTATTGCTCCTTTCGGTAGAATAATAAACCAAAAATAGTCTGTTCCGCTGTAGCTACATGTGCTGGTTGCTTTTAAGTAATCAGTGAACTGCCTAACTCCCTACAGTTGGAGCATTAGTCCCACAAAGTTTTGCGCAGTTTCAAACTTTTTCGCCATTGAAATGTTAGCAGCAGCTGCTAGTTATTAACAACAAGGATGGGTCATTAATAAGTAATGCACTCACGTGATCTGTTTCCAATCCCGGTCTGTGTATTAAATCTATGATTTGGGACACCCTAAAGATTGTGGTACCTATATTGAGTAAAATATGCGTATCTATACTTGAAGATTCTTAGTACCAGGCGTTTATTCAAGCCCAGCCTTTATTTGAACATTTACGGTAATATTCCACTTTTATAGTAGCATAGAGATACTGTCAAAACTTCTGTAGAAACATTAGAAGGTAGAGAGAATCTCTATAAGTCTTAATTAGAACCTAGCTGTACATGCAAGGTGGTGAAAACAATCTTAGGAATTTTTTTACACTGTTAAAGGCGGATTTACAATATTACGCTAGTCCTGACGTTACGTTGACGCTGGAATAGAATCTGGTTCTATTCCAGCGGAAAGCATGCGTCAAAAGGTCAAATCGCCCACGTTTTTGATTAAAAATTAACGGTACGCTGGCCTAATGTCATATTGTAAATCCGCCTTAAGGCCTTTCTACACTAGCACTTCTAATGCGCATTGAACTGGTTTGAAACTGGTTCCAGTCATTCCACACCCGATGCAGCATTGACTTCAATGCACATTAAGCCAAACCACCTCCATATGTGGTTTGAATGAACATTCAATAGATAACCAATGGCAGCTGGATCAGAAATGCTATCAAAATATACATGATCTTGAAGATAGTGTGGAATCAGTTGATGCTCATTCAATGCGCATTGATGAGCTGACTTCTGGAATAGTTCAAGTGTAGAAAGGCCTTTACACTTGTTACTAAGCAATTAACTTATAACTTACTTTTTTTCTAGCAATGTTACTTGACTAACTTCTTCAACTTCCTCTACAGTTGATACATCTAACTTTGCCATCAGCACTTTCATTTCTCTACTCCTCTTTTCTCCTAGCTTCTCTTTCCTTGCCTCAAGAGCTCCAGTAGCACACAAAGGGATAATGCAATCATCTGGAATAGACACAAAGCCCTTGCACTGGTCCTGGACTTTCTTCCTGATATGAGCAATACACTTGTCAAGATCACTTTCATTTTGACTTGATTCATCACTATCATTTGAACCAGATTTATCATCAAATTTGGCATCAGGTATTTCATATTCATCAAGCCTTGTTACAGCAATCAGGCACCGGTTTTCAACAAATAATTCTAAACAAAAACCACCAAATTTAGAAGTATTATATCATAGTAATTTTTACACTATTATAACACTATTAACAACAGCTTTTCATACTATGCAACACAATTATAACAGCAATTATGCAGCTGACCATATATGTACTTTTCACTCATAGGATATACACACTTACTTGGGTCTCTGTCAACTATAGCTCTCAGCGAGGCAGTATCAATAGAATCCTCCAATTGTGTACCAGACATTACATACACATATGCCGAGCAGGTCATCAGTTGGTACTCTGATACTTCAGATATTCCTAACTCATTAGATTCAGATAAACCAGGACTATCTAACAGCACAATATTGATATCACCAGTGGAACAACGACATAGGAAGGGAATGTGTGCCATTAATTCAGCAATATCAATTGTCTATAAAATAAAATATAATTTTATATGCTAGAAACTACCACTTACTTCAGTCTTTTGTCTGATATCAGAGTTCCTTTTGTGAATTGCTTTTTGAATATTTCGGCAACCCTTAATTTCTCCCTTTTCGGTATTCTTCATTGATAGGGATTGCTATAATTATAAATAAACCAATGACAGCATATTATAGCCAGTGATCAAAGTTTACCTCAGTATCTTCAAAACAGCTGATTTTATGATGACTGCTAGGATTATGATGAATTCTAAA